ACTGCACATGTGTGCTTCGCAGCCATCAAATGTCCTCAGACACCAAATACTGCACATGTGTGCTTCACAGCCATCAAATGTCCTCAGACGCAACTACTGCACATGTGCGCTTCACAGCCATCAAATGTCCTCAGAAACCAACTACTGTACATGTGCGCTTCACAGCCATCAAATGTCCTCAGACACCAACTACGGTACATGTGTTCTTCACAGCCATCAATTGTCCTCAGACACAAACTACGGTACATATGTTCTTCACAACCATCAAATGTCCTCAGACACCAACTACTGCACATGTGTGCTTCACTGGCATCAAATGTCCTCAGACACCAACTACTGCACATGTGCGCTTCACAGCCATCAAATGTCCTCAGACACCAACTACGGTACATGTGCGCTTCACAGCCATCAAATGTCCTCAGACACCAACTACGGTACATGTGCGCTTCACAGCCATCAAATGTCCTCAGACACCAACTAATATACATGATTGCTTTACAGATATCAAATATGCTCAGAAATAAAGAATTGCTGTGGGTCTTTTTTATAAATAAAGGGTCATTTCTAGTGGACAAAAATGCTGACTCGCATTGTATGGATAAGAGTGCGCATTCACTTGGCTCCAGTTACTATAATACCCCCATGTTTTCACGTACTTCACCCGAGTGATCACATCGCCAGGGGGTGACTTTTATGCCCCGGAAGTTGTCAATTTTTTTCTTTTCTTTTTTTTTTTTTCCCTTGTTGACAAAGTTAGCTCTCACTCACAACTTGATTAGGGCTCTCATTTGTCATCTTTTCTTTTAATCTCTAACACAACTTGATTGGGGCTCTAAATGGTCATCTTTTCTGTTAAACTCCAACACAACTTGATTGGGGCTCTCAATGGTCATCTTTTCTGTTAATCTCCAACACAACTTAATTGGGGCTCTCAATGGTCATCTTTTCTGTTAATATCCAACACAACTTGATTGGGGCTCTCAGGGGTCATATTTTCGGTTAATCTCCAACACAACTAGATTGGGGCTCTCAATGGTAATCTTTTCTGTTAATCTCTAACACAACTTCATTGGGGCTCTCAATGGTCATCTTTTCTGTTAATCTCTAACACAACTTGATTGCGGCTCTCAATGGTCATATTTTATGTTAATCTCTAACGCAACTTTATTGCGGCTCTCAAGGGCCATCTTTTCGATTTCTATAAAGAACAGCTGAAAAAAAATATTCTTTTTTTTTTTTTTTGGTTTGTTTTTTTGAACTTTAAAAACGACATGGAGTCCGATAAAATATGCATCATTAATGTGGTTCGTCCTCTGTAGCGAAAAGCATAAAATTATTGAGAAAAAAATATTAATTTTCCCCCATTGTCTTATCGAAAACTCTCCTTTCAAAAACAATCATTGATTTATACTCCGAAACACTGATTTGGGGACAAATGTGTTGGGGTTACATTAAAATTCCCGGAAGTGCTTCTCAATCCTGAAGACCGAATACCTCTTCTGAAAGGAGCTCTCTATTTACATAGCATTATCTACACCGCCAATGTATCAAGGTGGTTTCGTTGAGAGATTAGACATTGATTTTCTTTCAGAAATCCAAGCTAGGAAAGTCTTCTTTAAAAATGCCTTATTAAATTTTTTTAAGCATGGTCTTTTCATTTTGGGAAATTCTTCTTATTTTGCCTGTGCCGACTAGGTCTTAGACTTGCCAATGGATTTTTTTTAAAATTATAAATTTTCTACAAGAGAAAGATTTCAACCAAAGATGTAAATGTTTGAAAGGGGTTAAGTGCAATGTAATTTGTACCGATTCTCTTAGCATCTAGTCCACCGCAGGGACCACGAAACGGCCTATTAGTGAGTTGAGTACCTTTGGCTGAGGCTGGTGTGACGGGAGCAAGTCTCACGTTATCGAGTTGTTAGATGGTAAGAGCTACCTGGGGCAACCTGATGTTTGGCCACTTAATGCACGCTAATGTTTGAACCCCTGGGGCAAGCTGTTATTTGGTAAGCTGGGGCTATCTGAAATTTGGCCACCTGGGGCTAGCTGATGTTTGGTCACCTGGGGCTCTCTGATGTCCACTGGTGCAAGAAAATGTTTGGTTTACTGGGACAAGCTGATGTTTTGTCCAATGGGGAAATTTGATGTTTTTGATCCAGGGTCAGCTGATGTTTGGTCCACTGGGATAGGCTAATGTTATGTCACTGGAGCAATCTGATGTTTGGTCAGCTGGAGCAATTAAGATTCATTGGGTCGGTCCCAAAACAAATGTAAATGAATACAACTACGAATGACAAAGAGGCTAGGGATGAGAATCGAGAAGGACGAGAATGTAGATAGAAGGGATGAGAATGGAAAAAGGAAGAGAATGGAGACGCGATGAAATTGAGAGAGGCGATAATGCAGAATAGATGAAATTAGAGAGGGATAAGAATGGAGAGGGATGCTCATGGAGAAAGGAAGAGAATGGCGATGCATGAAATAGAGAGGAGTAAACATTGATGGGGATGGAAATGGAAAAGGAAGATAATAGAGACCAATGAACTGGGAGAAAGGATGTATAATAAATAATAAATATTATTGGAGAATTGATGATAATGGAGGAGGGATGATAATGGGGAGGATGAGATTTAAGAACGAAATAAAATGTAGAAGGGATGAAATTGGAGAAATTATTAAAACGTAGAATAGAAAACATTGAGTGTTTGTGAAGGGCTATATCTACTACATGAAAACATTTGGAACACAAATAAACTTTCCCTGTTTGATAAAAAAAAAACAAAAAAACGATCGATACATATATCCATGTTTATACAAAAGTATTGGCCCCGTTAGGGATAGAAGTATGCACATGTTGTGCCAGTCAAAATATGAGACTCTTCCGGTGATTCGGCAACTGAGAGCAAAGGTCAAGCTGGGACCATCACGAAGCGGAGAGGAACACGAATGCCCTCAGTTCACACCCTTAGCCGACAATGGTCTATCACAAGTGTTGAGTTTCTTTTATTATTATTAGTTGTTTTTTTTTATGAAGAGGGGCAGTAAGGGGTAATTACCGAGCACTTACCAGACACTTCCGGAAATGACCAAAAAGCCTTTCAACAAAAGGAAGTCGAGTTTTTGAGGACATGTCCGTTTGATTCACAGTATTATTTGTTTGAGTAAAAAAATTTAGAATAAATAACCGTAACAAATCATACGTTTTTAAAAATGAAATTTAAAAACTCGTTTTAGCTTTGGGAATTTATCACGAAAGCCGGTGGTTTCATTTATAATGGAACATTTCGAAGTAAAAGGTTGGGGGGGGGGGCGGGGGGGGGAGGGAGGTGAATTAGGTTCACATTACAAACAAAAATGACGCATATATTTATTCACATTTTGGATTTTGTTTTTCAATCAATGTTTTCGCTATTTATNGAGTTTTTGAGGACATGTCCGTTTGATTCACAGTATTATTTGTTTGAGTAAAAAAATTTAGAATAAATAACCGTAACAAATCATACGTTTTTAAAAATGAAATTTAAAAACTCGTTTTAGCTTTGGGAATTTATCACGAAAGCCGGTGGTTTCATTTATAATGGAACATTTCGAAGTAAAAGGTTGGGGGGGGCGCGGGGGAGGGAGGGAGGTGAATTAGGTTCACATTACAAACAAAAATGACGCATATATTTATTCACATTTTGGATTTTGTTTTTCAATCAATGTTTTCGCTATTTATAATTCAAATTTTTCCATTAAAATAAATAAGATATCCCCCAATACCTATCCCTTCAATTGGCGATTTTTTAAAAACTTACATTTTCTTTCTTTGGGGGGAGGAGAGAGACAGAGAGAGAGAGAGAGAGAGAGAGAGAGAGAGAGAGAACGGGGCATTGAAATTGTAGCCATTAAAATCGACATTCACTTACAAACAGCCCAACCCATCAAACAACCGTTTTTTATTGTGCTAATATCCCTTCTTTCCACACCTTACAGACGCGAAGAAATCATTCATACGGACATGAAATCCACAGCTACACATATTCACATAAACAATCAGCTCAGGTCGCAATCCACCTAGCCCCTACCACCACCACCCCCACCTCCCCCGCCCCCCCCCCCCCCCCCCCCCCCCCCCCCCCCCCTCTCTTTTGTGGTTACGCTAAAGGGTCAGGGCTGTTCCTTAAAACTTTCATTCACCGGGCAACTCTAACTGCACAAGCCCGGGGTTGTTTTTTTTTTTTTTTTTAAATAAGAAAAAATAGAAAAGCAGAGGTCGGAACAGCTTTTCCCTCTGAGGTCCTTCCTACGTTGTGGATACGTCACTTGTGCTATATTTATAACAACCAATCAAAACCGCGGGCGATTATTTTTCAGGACATGATTCGGTAGCGTTGTGAGCTATAAAGCTCGACGCTCGTTGAATGAAAGGACAAGAAAAGCAAATGATTGCTAAGTAAAAGTATCTTTTTTTTTTTACGAACAAGAACTAATAACATTATACGTTTTCAGAACCGAACGTGTATTATATATATTGAATTTGTAACTGAGTGAATTGAAGATTTGATTATAACAACTATTTTCACTACCGACTTTGATTCAGTCTTTTTAAAATTAAACAACATTTTTAAATTTATTAATTTTTTTTTTTTTTAAAAGGCAAATTTAATTGAGCCAAACAGCTTAAAAAGTACAATTATAATCATATTCAACCGTCTTCAAAAGTTATCCATTGGAGGTCAGAATATTTACACAAAATATTCAGTAAACTTTCCTAGTGTACAGCAATGGCAATCTACCTTCTATCAACCATCTCCGTTTTCATCGCCGCCATCATCGCTCAGTCATCATCTCATGTGATAGGCGGCGGTCTCAACACAGATTTCGATCTACACGGTGAGACTCCAACCTGGCTGCAATCTTCGATCAGAGCGGCTTCGTCATCCGGAACAGTTAAAAGATCAATCGGCTTCAGACCAGCGCCAGGTTCAGGTTCCGAGGCGAGCTCCAACCCATTCCTCAGGGCCAAGCGCAGCGTCGAATGTCCAGTCCCAGCCAACATTCCCGACCTGGTGAAGGATTTGAACCTCAACGCTTCCCAGTTCTTGGGGCGCCTGGTCAACGAGGAGGACGGCTACGCACCCCTGCCACGGGACCAGCCTGCAGCCGGTGACTGCCCTCAAGAGAGCGGCTCGTGGTGGCCAAGAAGCGAGGATAATTTGAGGTCGACCTGCCCCTGGATCATGAATGAAACTGTTCTTGGAGCTGACTTTTACCCGAGGTAAATTTTGATCTCAGATATGATGTTATGTACGCATTTAGCCAATGGTGAGTCGTTTGAATTTGTATCAACTTCAACTTCAATCATTGGATTTTTTTTTGGGGGGGGGGGCATAAAAACTACTTTTTTTTTACAAATTTTACATAATAACAATTCAAATCCCCGTCTGCACTCATTTAAATTCCCTAAAAATGAAAACACATCTTTCGAGGATATCTAGGTTTCTAACACCATTCATTCATGAAATTGACCATCGGCACGTGGCCTTAAAGGCACAACAGACCACGAGTGTCAAAGAAAGAAAAAACAACTTGTGTCTAAACCTTTTGACCTTTGCACTCTAATACTCTTGAAACTCGAGTGGTATGCTTAACATAACGCATTACGAATAGGGAAAAAACTATTGAAAAAAGCACAAGAAGACAATCTTACCGTTCTTCTTGTTTTACTCTAACTCTTTAATTTATTGTGTTTTTTTTTCTTTCGTTTCTTTCAATTTTTTAGGAAAATTCAGCAAGCCGTCTGCCTGTGCTCACACTGCATCAGCGCCAACGCCATGAGCTGCACCTATTTGCGCCAGCAGGTCACCGTCTTCCGTCGGGGCGCCTGTAAAGACGGGCTGGCCGTCATGACGAGAGTCAACATCGACATCAACGTTGGCTGCTACTGCGCATCCAGCGCCATTGTCCAGCGTGCCTTGCCCACACCAACCCCGTAATGGGTTCCGATGAGATGCCAAGTGTCCATCGACGATTCAACGGTTGAAAGCTTAAATCTTTAAATTTTGTTCCGTTGCTCTAATAACGATGGCTAAGCAAGAAGTAAGCAATCTTATTTTTCATAAAGACACTTGGCACTTGGAGATTATGTTTCGAACCCTAGCAAGTTTATGCTAACGAATTAAAATAAAATTGACATTGTTTACTTGGAAATGACGTGTCTCTCCTCCATCATCGGTTAAAATGACCTACTTCCGTTACGCAAAATATAGCTTTATTTGAATTTGATTGTTAGATAAGATTTAAGATGATTTTTAAATGATTGTAAAGTAGGTCATGAAAGCTTTAGGCTAAACAAAATTTATAATGTCACTTTGTACAACAAAATGTGACAAAAATCGACTCAAAGATTTGTCCACAAAAAAAAATAAATAAAAAAAAATAATAAAATAATGTCTAAAAATAGAAAATAGGAAAATATTTCTCAAAATGGAGATCGTCATGGAAATGTTAAACTCTGTCAACTTTTTATTGTAGATCATATTGATCTAAATTGTTGAATCTCGTTGTGCTATACTATACATTTCAATGTATTTTCTCTCATTTTGGTTTAACATTTTATTATTATTATTTATTTTTTTCGTTACTTCATGTTTGACCATATTTCAATGAAAACATGTTTCTATTTATTGTTAAGAGTTGCTGTTAAATTATTATTTTCTTGATCTCATAAAATGAAATCCACATAAATCTCACCCCATTACCTACGTTATTAAATTATTTTAAAATTAAAATGATGAGCGCACATGGTGATCCTACAATGAAATAAGCATTAAGCTTGATTTTGAACAAACGTTTAAGGCAACTAACAGACCCTTTCGAAGTATATAGTTAATACTTTTGGGCCCGTTGGCACATTGAAAGAACTTTGAAAAAAAAAATAGTTCCTATCTCCCCCCCCCCCCCCCCCCCCCCCCCCCCCCGTTAACTATGCTGGCCAATGTTTTCCCTATTACGTAGAGTGAGCTGAAATGGACATGTTAACAACCCCTTGTAAATAAATCTCACCCAACCAGTCTAGTTCAATGTTGATTAGGGCAATGTTGATTAGGGCGATTTTGATTAGGGCAATGTTGATTAGGGAAATGTTGATTAGGGCAATGTTGATTAGGGCTATGTTGATTAAGGCAATGTTGATAAGGGCAAAGTTGATCTATGCAACGTTGATTTATGCAATGTTTATTACGGGCTTACAGTATTTCTATTTGTGATATAAATGTACAACTGATGTGATGTTTAATTTTCAATCTTAGGATGCCTTAACAAATTATGTTATAGTAGATTTTTTTTTGTGATTACCTTGTACAAAGCTAGAAAGTATACATTGTAAATTATACAACAATTATATTATATTTTCATATTAAAATTTTAATAAATTCTATATCAAGTGTAAAATAGTTGTAGTTATACACTTTATTTATGTTAAATTTAATTTATTTATTAATGTATCAAATATCTGCAATGAAAATAAATTGGTATTAAAATTATCTTTTTTTTTTTTTTTATATCTAATAAAATTTCAATTAATACAAGCCAGTCTCTATAATTTTAAAAATACGAGATGTGAAAGCAATGCATCTATTTATATGTGCTAGTATGATTTTGATATTTAGTTATATATTTTATTTATGTTAAATTTAATTTATTTATTAATTTATCAAATATATTCAATGAAAATAAATTGGTATTAAAATTATTTTTTTTTTTTTTTTGTATATCTAATAAAATTTCAATTAATACAAGCCAGTCTCTATAATTTTAAAAATACTAGATGTGAACGCAATGCATCTATTTATATGTGCTAGTATAATCTTGATATGGGACACTAATCCAGTCTTAATATGTATTTCATTCCATCCAACATTCCAACTGTCACGGTTTTAAATCTCAGTACACATATTTACCTCGTCACCGCCCAAGTAAATGAAACAAGAATTTTTAATGATTTCAGCAGGCTATTTTGTTTTTATAAAAATAATTGTAAATATATCTAGTTTTACGACTATTGTAGCCAAGAACATCATTTGAACCACATGTATTCTGTCATTCAAGAAAGCTCTTGTGATACGAATTTTCCATTTTACGTGTGTGTAAATTACATCAATATATTTTTTTGTTATACTTAAAAAAAATAATAATTTCATGTATTTATTGTTTGAAAATCCGGCCAATGAAGTGATGTAATGGTTGATAAAAGACATGTCACATTTTTTTTAAGTGACCACTCCATGACATTGTGCATTACTGTATTATTGAGAACTTATGCAACATGCATTATGAAAATCTAATTTATTTATTTATAAAATAACAATTTTGGGTGTGTATAATTTAAAGCCCCATGTTAAATGTTATGCTCAATTTCTGAATAATCATTGTATAAATAAAACACTGAACCGAGTATAATCTGATTGTAACTTGTATTTATTTGTGCGTTTACAAAGTGACGAAGGATGTTAAAATAATTATTGGGTTGAGAAATAATTTACTCTTGTTTCTTATAATAAAAATCCTTTTTAGATAATTTATCATGTCCAAAATCAATTTTATCTAACAACTGTGATTTAAAATTTAAAAAAAAAAAAAAAAGCATTTCAACTATTTTAGCGCAACACCTGAAATGTCAAAAAGTGTTGGTGAAGCCTTGTGTCACCCATGCAATGTGTGTTAAAAGTGTCGGTGAAGCTGTGTGTGTCTCAGTCGATGTGTATTAAAAGTTTTGGTGAAGCTGTTTGTGTTTCAGGCAATGTGTATTTTTACAATGTTGTACAGTTCTCGTATACACGTCGAATAAAGTGCTTACAATTTTTATAATATAAATTGTTTCGTTGCTATTCTTAGTGTGGAAAAACGGTCACCGTCAAATGAGATTTAACTTTTTAATTTTTTTTTTTTTTTTTTGATTTGGGGAAGTTCAACTAAAATGATTTTATTATAATGCCCAGTCAAGATCACTTTAGAAAAGTCCCACCATTAATGTTTTCCCGGAGGGCGATAGACGCCTGTCTCCTTTCTAACATTTCAAATGAAATTTAACTTTTTAATTTTTTTTTTTTTTTTTTGATCTGGGGAAGTTCAACTAAAATGATTTTATTATAATGCCCAGTCAAGATCACTTTAGAAAAGTCCCACCATTAATGTTTTCCCGGAGGGCGATAGACGCCTGTCTCCTTTCTAACATCTAGATGAATATCTTTTACAAGCCAACGGTAATGGAGTGTAGATAAAAAGCTGTGCTCCGCACCGCGTCGTCAAAGGTATCGACATTGCCTGGACTAAAGAAAACAGATGGTGACCGCTGTACCAAATCACGTTTAGAGTAACTTTCCGGGGCAGGTTCAACTATTAAGACAACCTTGGCAATAGCCCAGGGGGCGCCTGAATTGTCGGAGCGTCAAGACTCACCACATACCGTTTAAGATGAGCCCAAAAGCAAAGTAGTTTATATTTCGGGTCAGATCCAAATAAAAGCGAAATTTAGCTAAGAGCTTCCCTTTTTCCAAAACGGCGGCACTGGTTACATTCAGTCATGAAGCATTTGTTTGTTAATAATTATTATTTATTCATCTAAGACAGTGGTTCTCAACATTCCTAATAACAAGAACCCTTTAATATACAGTTCCTCATATTGTGGCGACCCCCAAACACAAAATTAATTTTGTTGCTACTTCATAACCGTAGACCAAATGTGTTTTCCGATGGCCTCAGGCGACTCCTGTGACAGGGTCGTTTGACCCCCTCAAAGCGGTCGCGACCCACAGGTTGAGAACCAGTGATCTAAGATATTTTACTTTAAAAATATTATTAGATACTATAAAATACCAAAATATGGCGGCGGCAATGCGTGAGCTTCCCATCGACTACAGCTACTTGACAAAACATGCATTCAACTAATGCACTTGACTGGAATTCCAATTGGTGCGAACTCCTGGGAATTTTACTTTGGCGCCAATTACACGCAGCGTTACAGCCAAACATCCATTTAAAAAAAGGGAGGGGGGTATTATTAGTGATACCATAAAATGTTTTCCATCCTTAAATGAAAACGTGTGATCCAGTTGTGGTTTTGTTACCATGCAGCTTTCTTTAAACTTGACACAGCTTCGGACTTGACCAAATGTAAATCCGGCATTGCACTGCCGTATTTACCATCGTCAACAGTGCATGGTGTTTCGGAAAAGCGTGGGGAATGATATGTTGGCGGACTGTGATTTATGATAAGACAGAGAGGGACGTGGCTAGGGTTAGTAACACCCCGGGGGCGAGCCAGAAAATGTTTCCACCCCCACCTCCAAGACAAAAAAAACAAAAACAGTTCATATGGCAATATGGAGGCGGAAAGCCATGGATCGGTTCTAATGGAAAGATGTTGTGGATTAGGCCAGGGTCCTACATAGGCTATAGCGCCACTGATGATGATGTCTGAATGGAAGGATGTGGCGGAGCAGGCCAGGGCCCTACATGGGCTGTAGCGCCACTGATGATGATGATCACTTGCGTCAAGTCCAAAATTTGCCAACGAATGATAATTGCGGACAATCGAAACCTTTAAATATGGACACGTATTTCAATAAAATTGTATGGTTTAGCGGAACAAAGATTTCCTTCAAGGCCTATGACTGGACATTTTAGTGGGAGATACCCTTCAGAAATAGATAGGCTAAACTTTTCATCGATACTTGATATGTCAAGGTAGCGTTGTATGTATATAATAAAAGCAAAGGGCGCCCTAGGATCAATTTTCTAGTTTCTTTTCTAATGTAATTCACGTTTTCTGTTAGTTAAATCTCATTATTATTTTATTGTATTAGAAGTATAACATATTCGTCTATTTCATTGTTTTTCTGTGTCCTATTAAAAATATAATTACTGTGATTGACGTTGTTTGAGTCTGATTTATTTATTTGTTTTTTCAACTATATGATTTAGGAGTAGAGCAAAGGGCCTCTATCAAACTAAATAGCACTAGACTTTCAAGACTAAAAGTAAAGACAAACAGTAATTTGGTTAAAAATTGAATAATACATTAGCTTAAAAATTAATGTTTGTTTTGTATATTATTGCTTTCTGTATGCCAACAATACTATTAAAAAAACTACTTAGATTCATTCAAACATTTCAAGATTGCAAAACAGTAAAAACTCTCTAATTGATTGTAATCGAGAGCCAATTACGTTGGCGGTTAACATGAAAAAAAAGGCAATAATTATCTTTTTTTTTTTTTTTTTTTTTTTTGATTGGTGGGTTTTTTTTTTTTTTTTTTTTTTTTTTTGTGGTGTTGTTTTTTTTTTTTTTTTTTTTTTGGTGGGGGTGTGGGGGTGTGGGGGGTGTGATGAGAGGCTGAAAAGCCCAGCATTCAATGGAAAATGGTAAATTTACTATTTCAAAGTTATTTCCGATCCATTTAAGAATACGAAAAATATTTTTAGGGCCAAATAAGTTCACTTGGCCTTTTTTTTTTTTAAAGTGTGGTTAAGATGTTTAGAGCTCGCTGATTGGTCAAAGTGAAACACCAAAAACAACACGGAGGTCCCCGTTGTTGGCTCAGGGGAATGAACGTCATCGTATGACAAATGTTATCCTCTCCCGCTACACGTCCACAACATACCGACCATACAGGCCTTCAAAGCTGACCTCAAAACGCATCTCTTTAAACCCGACTGACCCTCCCCAACATCTGACCGCTAAGCGATGCTGCTGGGTGGCCGTCCATAGCGTGACCTGTAAATAGTTATGAAATGGGTTGGGGGGGGGCACACTTTTTTTTTTTTGTTTTTTTGTTTTTACACAGCTCTTGTTGTTGTTGTTGTTTTTTTTAAAATAAAGAAATGTATCTTATGTTTTAATATCATCATTGTGTTTTGCTAATATTTTAGTGTGCATCACGGTGAGTCCGTGAGTCCGGCCCTATCATGGGACACCGCGCTTTGCGAGACCGCTAATAATAATAATAACAATACGTAACCGAAGACAAAATGATATTATTTGAAAACTTGGACTGTAACAAACAAAAAAAGCAAAAAAATCGACGTCACCGTGGAGCAGTTCTCAACCTTCCTAATGCCGCGACCCTTTAATACAGTTCCTCACGTTGTGGCGACCCCCCACCCACAAAATTATTTCCGTTGCTACTTCATAACTGTTGAGTATATGTGTTTTCCGATGGTTTTACGCGACCCCTGGGAAAGGGTCACTGGAGCTCCAAAGGGGTCGCAACCCACAGGTTGGGAACAGGCTGCCGTAGAGCCTATTGTTAAATGGACACTCGGGCACTCACCCCCCGGGAATTATTTATAGCGAGCTAGTTTGATACTTGATGACCATAGGCTGATTTCAGATGTAATTACTCACACACAACGGAGAATTTCCCATTCAATATTATTAACCTAAACAGCTAATAACTAAATTTAGCTCTGATTTTTTTTTAGCTTCACGCATGTCACCAATAGTCATCATGAGGATGTTGGGAGTTTTCCCCGAGCTCGTGCCTATAACTAGTGCTCACCGCGGCAGTGGATTTAGTCAGTGTGTCGATTGACATGCCATTCTGTCTGATGCAGACCTATTTTTGTGTGTGACTGCTGATATACATGTTGATGTGTCTGCTGCGATTGTGACACTGTAAGACTAGGAGCGTATACTGGAATATGATATGTGCTTAGTTCAGACGATCAAACATTCGTTAAATCTCACTTTGAACACATTATTTTTATTTATTTTTACTAAATAGAGCGTTCAAAAAGAAATTTGACGAAAAGTTAATCATGTGAACAAAGAATTAACCCTTTTACAGTAGATACTGTCGTTAATATAAATTGATCCACTTTATGTATGTACATCTCATGGGACAAGCCGATTGTTAAATTATTGCAATTTCTTTCTTCACAGAAACTTGTCTTGAACTCAAAGGAAAAGCTAATGGTTTGCTGCGAATTTTTGTGATTTGTAAAAAGTAGAGAAAGATTTCCTCTCAACCACCGCACAATGAATACGTCTTTCTTAACACAACTGTGGACCCTATTTTCAATTTTAACGGTGATTCTTTCGCTACCCACGCCTTCAAAAAATGAGACAGGGGCGTCACAGGTCTTAAACCGAAGACGTTCGAAATGGTTGACGTCTCCCGGTCCTGGACTCAAGCCAGCGTCCGAAAAACCAACGACATCTCAAGGCCAAGCTAAGCAAAAATCGCCCGGGCGCAAAAAGGGGCGAAAAGGAATTCGCGTCCCGAAAAGCCGGCCTACTTTCAAATGCGCGCTCCCCGCTGACATCCCAGAGCTTGTCTCGCAGCTCAACTCGTTCTTGAACGCCAGTCAGTACATCGGGGTGTCGCCACTGCAGCCTAGACATAAGCGCCCACCACCCAATCAGCCGAAAACGTGCCCCGAGGACGACAGGTCCTGGTGGCCGAGAAAGGAGCACAATTTAAGGTCCACCTGCCCATGGACCTACACGACAGTTGATCTGGGGGAGTCTTTCTATCCAAGGTGGGTTATATATTTTTTTTTAAGCTTAATTATCCTAATGTTATTGTAAGTTCTAAAATTTTCTATCATTGCATACCTTTGGGAAGCTTAAGTTAAAATGTCATTAAAAAAAAATCAAGCAATTTCACTGACAACGGGATGAAGCTCAACTAAGTTTGAAAACAGCCATGATCAAAATTTAATCATTAGAGTATACGTAGTCAAGTTTTCGGGATTTCCGCAAAATTTGAAATAAAGAATGGACGTACTTGAAGCACTTAAGGCTTGGTTGTGTGTGTGTTAAGAGATTTAGAACTTTTTGAAATATGGGTCAAGTCAGGATATGGTTTGCGTGGCCGACGAATTCACACATAACTTTAAAACAAAACTACGTTTTGTAGTCAGACTTTACTAAAACACAACATGTCGTGCTATAGTGTGTGTGTGAGGGGGGGAGGGGGCATTGGGGGGGGGGGGGGCATTCCCAAATTTAAAAAAATTTGAGCCTAAGGGGGGCGGGGCGTATTTCTCTGTCAGTCATTTCGAAACTCCCCAACGGCTTATGGCATTATTTTTTTTAATACATAATTTAAAAGTATAACTAAATAATATGCTAGCTGTGATTTGGAGGAAGGGAGTGGACGGACTGAAGTGGTCAAGTAGAAAAATTCGGACAGGACAGGCGATAATGCTAGGAGTCTATTAGTTGGGAAAGCAAAATAATTTAATTTTTTAAAATGTTAAACTTATGAAGAACAACTTCTATTTATACATAATGTAACACGCGGAGTCTTTTTTTAACGGACTGAAACATTTTACAGTCTACTATGGGTTAGAACTGCGAGCAATTTTTTTTTTTTGGGGGGGGG